ATTTATTATAGGAATATCGTATTGTTGTTTTTATATAAGTTCTTGTTTGTGTGATTTTATTTTATGTTTTTTTGTAGTAATGTATGTGTAGTTCAGGCTCTAAAGGACTAGAGCCTTACATTCTGAATTAGAAAGAATAATTAAAAAAATAAAAAAAATACAAAATACAGAAAAAGATAAAAAAATTTAAGAAATGACAAACCAAAATAATTAAAATGCTTAAATTAATTAAGAGTTTAGACCTTTAAGAGATTATGCAAATCCTACAGTAGATGAACTTCATTATAATATTCAAAAACATGTTGTAGTGGATAATTCATTTGAACTTAAACCTGTTGTTATCCAATTAATATAAAATAATCAGTTTGAAGATTTAAATTTACGTCCTACCAATTTTTTAGAATTGTGTGCTACATTTAAATATGATAGTGTATTAGATGATGATATTAGACTTAGACTTTTTCCCTTCTTACTGAGGGATAAGGCTAAGATATGGTTGAATTCGTTAACACATGTGTTTATCAGAACATGGAGTGATTTAGCACAGAAATACCTTGCTAAATATTTTCCACCATAAAAAAACTACGAAGTTTAGAAATGATATTACATCTTTGAGTTCCAACTTTGAAGCATAATCTATATATGAAGCATGAGAACGATTTAAAGAACTACTAAGAAAGTGTCCACACCATGTTATACCAGATTGGTTCATAATTCAAACTTTTTAGAATGGATTAGCTGGATCTCTTAGATCTATTATCAATGTTTGTCACTGTTAGTGGTTCAATAATGTTAAAATCATTTCACGACGCTTATACTTTAATTGAAGGGATGACTACTAATAATTTCAATGGCCTTCTGAGAGGGTAAATCCTAAGAAAGTAGCCAATATTTATGAATTTGATACTTATGCAATGTTAGCAAATCAAGTTGTTATAATTTCAAGGAAGTTAGACCAATTTGAAATGAATTTTTCTCAACTAATTTCAATGATTGAAGAGAATTTATTAGGTCAAATGATAGATTTTCAAGCATCATTAGAAATTGCGAATGTCATAAACTAGGTCAAATGATAGATTCTCAAGCATCATTAGAAATTGCGAATGTCATAAAAAATAAGATAAATAACTCATATTCAAACTATTATAACTCAAGTTGGAAGAACCATCCTAATTTTAACTAGAATAATACTTTGGGTGGTAATAATCAGCAACGGGGTAACAACCAAGTAAACTCAATAGGAAACTAGAACAACCAAGGTAATAATAATTATAGACCTACTTATCCTACAAGTTTTAACAATAATTCACAATTCGAGGAAAAAAATTATCTATAGAAAAAGTGGTGTTACAAATGGGAAATCAGTTACAAAGTTAAGGAGCTATAATTAGAAATATTGAGAATCAATTGGGACAAATAACAAATTCATTAAGTAATAAATCTCAAGGAACACTTCATAGTATTACAGAAATAAATCCCCATTAAGTAATAAATCTCAAGGAACACTTCCTAGTATTACAGAAATAAATCCAAAAAACCAGAATAAAGAACAAGTAAAAGTCGTTTTCAACTTAGAAGCGGAAAAGAGTTGAAATGTAGCTTTCAAAAAGAGATTCAAGTGGAGAGAGAAGAAATTGAAGAGCCTGAAGAGGACGCTCCGAAAGGTTTAGAGAGAATTATTTTTTCACAAAGAGGACGCTCCGAAAGGTTTAGAGAGACTTATTTTTTCACTTAAAATTGACTTGGAAAAACCACCACCACCATTTCCTCAGAGACTTTGTCAACAAAAATTGGATAAACAATTTTCAAAAATTTTGGAAATCTTTAAAAAGATTACGATTAATATTTTATTTACTGAAGCTTTAGAAAAAATGTCAAGTTATGTGAAGTTTATGAAGTATATTCTTAACATAAAAAGGAATTTCAAAGATAACGAGACTGTTGCACTTAATGAGGAGTGCAGTGCTATAATTCTGAAAAAGCTTCCTGAAAAACTTTGTAGCTAGCTCACTTTGCAAAATCATAAGATGTTGTAGAATGGGAAAGGCTTCGTAGCTAGTTCATTCCACACATTGTGGAGAGTTTTCTTTTGGAAATCCCAAGGTAATGCTCCCCGCATGCCTCTCCAAAACAAGAGGCAGCTATGCAGCATGTCCATGTGATAAACCCTTGGTGTCTATCTAAGATCGTTAGATGAGTGTGGGTCATTATCGAAAGTCTCTTTCGCCTTCCTTCGGTGACCAATTTATCCCAATTTTATCTTAAAACAATCAAAACTGCCCAAAGTCAATGTCAGGCGCCTAGATGCTAGTTTGAGCACCACCTTTCTTAGTTTGAGTTTCTTGGCTGCCAGTTGAGGTGTTGAGTTTCTATCTTCTTTATTCTTCACATGTTGTCTAGTTAAAGCATTATTGTGTCTCTGTCAAGAGATTGTTTTTCATCTTCTTAATTTCCCTAGTCAATGAAAACAATCTTTTGCTGCCTCAAAGATTGGATTGGACATCAGGGCGCCTGGAAGTGACTTAGGAAATATTTTCTCCAAATGCTCCTCCTTACTAACCTGCAAACTATAACTTGCAAAAACATCCTAGAAAATAATAAAAAGGATACAATTAATAAAGAAAAAATAAAAAAAAATAACACCAAACATTTCTTACACATTAAGTGCCCCAGGAACAGGATTATAGACATCGAGTTATTAGGTTGGGTCGGATCTAGGCAATCACTAACCCATAAAAGTTCAGCACTTCCACCAATTCCTTACATAAAGGGAGCCGAAGGCCCAAACTGAACTAATCATTATATAACTCAGTTCCCCTTCATAGATAGTATTTGATGCCACACAATCTCAGACCAGTCGGAGAAATGTGGAATCATCAAAAACATTTTTCACTTGAAGTTTAGCTAAAGTATAAGCATCCAAAATAGACCCAATCACGTACTTCGTGTTGAGATTTTCCTCCCTTACATCATTTAGATTGATCTTGTCGGACTGGAGTGCCTGACTCAAGCTAGTCTAAATGGTTCAACTCAAGTCGTATTTAAAGGAGAGCAAGTCTGGCCTCAACCTCTTCCAAATGCTATCAGTTTTCCTTAAAGGTCTTCAGATTTTCCCCTAACATCACTTCCAATTCAACAATCAGCTCTTTTGCTTTTGAATCAGTAATATCCTTTAACATTGCCTTCAACCCGGCAATCCACTCTTTAAATATCAAATCAGTAACAACTTTCTGAGCTTCTATATTAGCAATGCACTATTCAGCCTCCTGGAGGCTTGGATGGCCTCCACACCATTGGTTCTCTGCTCAAAGCCATGAATTCATTTCTCTCCTTGTATTTCTGCAAGCAGCAAGAGATCATACTCAACCAGGAAAGAGGATTTAGTTTTATTAAAAAAAAATTATGATTACTTCAGAAGACATATCTACATGAAAATTCCCTTGAACTTCTCGTGTACTCATATGTGTTCACCAGAACTCCCATCTTCAGTGTTGACGAAATCATCGAGGGGAATTGATTGACCAGCTCATTAGTCAACTGATATGTCTGAATATAGAAAAAACATGAGAAGATCACGCTAAGGCCATTTGGTCTTTCTAACCAAGTCTATTTCTAAATTCAAAAAAACAATATCCTCACTGCCCACACTAATAGGCTGACGATGCCAGAAGTTGTAAAACCTATCTGTCCATGACCACTCTCCATAGGGAAGCCAAAGTCCCCAGGCAAAGAACAATCCTACCCTTACTTTGATAATAAGAAATACTACTTCCTAAAGAGAGCTAAGGCCCTTGGGTGAATGACAATCTAAGCTCGATAGTCGAGAAAAGAGACTTCTTCCTACAAAAGAGTTGCAGGTCTGCTAGATGAAAAGTCAGAACTCAATATAGGTATCATCGAGCCTCGTCGAACTTGAGATTGTGAGTTTAAGCAGGGTGAATTTGGAGCATATTCAGTGATCATCATGGTTATGTCAACAACTATTCTACGATCCAGCTCCTGAAGAACATTAGTAAACTGAAAAATATTATAAGAACACCTTAACAAGGTAGACATGTTGATAACTAATAATATCAAAAAAGTGATCAAAGACCAGCCATATTCCCCTGTAACATGTATCAGAAGACACGACTTTCGTCAAAATGACATGTTAAAATGATTCGCCAACCTTATTCATCAATGTGTTAGCAATCAAGTACTAGCTGTCGAGCTAACATATTAAGCAGACCCACCATATTCCCCTGACGAACTGATGAAAGACCAACCCAACACACCAATCTAATAGATTGATTATTCAAACCCCTCTACTGAGCTCACCTTATCAGTGATCTTCAAAATTAACATACCACAAAAGTAAAGACATGCATCAAAATTGGCATGTCACATTCTCATTTATGAACCGCCTAACATTCGCATCACAATCTTTTTATCAAGATATTGTGAACAAATTTTGTACAACACGACTTATATTTTTAAATCTTTTTCAAGAACACATATAAGGAGATAACAAAGAGATTGACATGATCAACACTACAGGATTTTTTTTTTTTTTTTTGAAGGATCTCACGCTATGACTCTCATAAAGCCTCTTTTACCCCTTCTCGTTGAATCTTCTCCACTCCGTCGAAAGAGAATCGAAAAGCAAAACACAATTTAAACTTCAAAAATACATCTATCATCTTCCTTCACCTTACAAAAAATTGTATCAACTCACAAACAATGCAAGACCCGACATCCTAGGAAAAAAAAATTAAACACACAATATTACATGCATGTATATCTTGCTTTTAACTTAATAATTTCCTCGAGGATGACCTAAATTACAAAAACTGTATTTAACTGATAGAAATACCACCATCAGAAATTTGAAAGCTTTTAGTTTTTGCATTTTTCTCATTTGTGTGTGTGTCTATATATATATGTATATAAACTTTTATGACAATGTAGTGGAATTGGCTATCTTCATTTAAAAAAAATCAAAATACCAATTCCTAGGCCATTACAACAACATATAAAACAAAATACTCACATCCGTCAAAATTTCCCCCCACCCCCAATCTCAATATCCGCAAGTTAGCTTTTTTTTTGTTTTCCCGACCCAAGCACAGAAGCAGCAGAACCTAATCCGTACTCCTAGAATATAAACACATTTAAACCCTAAACAAGATTCTCCGAGAAGGCCTCTCTACATTCTTAGAATTAGATTTGCTCATTCTGCGCGTCCTCATCCAATTCCAGATCGATAAAACGGTCGTTATAGCTTGATATGTTGAGATATTCCTGCAAGCATTTTCCACCATTTCCAACCTTAACCACCCTCTTCTTGGATTGAATGCTACTCTCATCAAAGTCGTCATCATTTGCTGCAGATTCTCTGCAAGCGGAGCTTCTTCTCCTCTTTGTTAAATCATTGTCGCTGCTACTGCTGCTGTTCTTGCTTCCTCTATGTCGCTCTCTGATTATGGATTCTATGGTTTCCAAAACGCGATCGCCATACTTGAGCAACTTTGCCCTAGTTATGTTTTACCATTTGATAAGCATGGATTGAAAATTTATGGGAAGATTTACATACATACCACTCAATTCCTATGGATTTACATATTTAACACCTAACTTCAATTTTGACATGCATGCCACCTTGTCTATGCATGAAAAAGGTGTATTTTTGATGTGATGAAAAAGTTTTGGATAGCATACATGTAAAAAATAAAGTTTAGGTGTTCCATATATAAATACATAAGAATTGGGTGGATGTATGTAAATGCCCCAATTTTATATAAAGACATATACATGAATAGCACAAAATTTTTATGTATTTACATTAGTCCCAAGAGTCTATAAAAGTGTCAAGTGAGGACATACTCTTTTAATATGCGCTGAAATAATCTCGATGTCAAACTAATTTAGTTTCAATTAAAAGGTCTAGAAACTAAATTGATACTTTTATACAGTTTGAGGCTTACAATGAACCCCTACAAAGAGTCAAAGACCATTTTGACACTTTTCTCAAAATACACCATTCATGCACAGGCTCACGACACTATGTAAATATGAAAGTTTAGGCGTGAGATGTGTAAATACATAAGAATTGTGTGGTATGTATGTAACTTTCCCGTTAATGTGTGGCTCCAAGATAAAAAAGACTTACTTGCCAATGCCGTTGATCTCAAGGAGTTCTTCCTTGGTTCTTGGTATTCTCTTGCTAATTTGCTGTAGAGTAGCGTTTCTGAGGATAAATAAAGGTATTAGACGCGTTATTGCTGACCAAAACAGTATTACATGGAGGAAGACGTTCAACAAGACTAACCCAAAAATGTGGTAAGCCATGACACCTTCCCCAGCCTCTTTTACAAGCATAGTTCTGAGCGTACGCAAAGCAGCATAAAGTTTGGCTGATAAATTCTGCCCACAAGAATTTGCTATGAGAAGCCAGCAACTTAGGTCAAAGATTTGGAGCATTTACATACATACCAAACAATTCCTATGTATTTACATATGTAACACCTAAACTTTGCTTTTTAGATTCACACCACCCAAATCTTTCATATCAGTCATATGTAACACCTAAACTTTGCTTTTTAGATTCACGCCACCCAAATCTTTCATATATCACATCAAAAGTACCGCCATTTTAATTTTTAAAATTCATGCATAGGTAACGTGGTATGTATGAAAAAATTGAAGTTTAGCCATCAAATATGTAACTACATAAAATTTGAGTGGTATGCATGTAAATATTCCTTTAATTAATTGAAGAGGATCAACGTTTACAAAGTCAACTTCATTTTGTGCTTGAACAGGAATGTTCTGGTGAGAGCTCGTAGTTTCTGTAAAGGATGAAGCCTTAGTAAGAGGCACCTCAGACTTGCTCTTGTATGCCTTTGCAGGTGATGGGAACCTGCAGAGAAAAATTGCTTCAAATCAGTTATGTAATCAATTCACAAAAATAGTCATAGGTATTCTGTAGAAACTGTGCAAAGAAAAAATTTACTGGCGTTTAATGATATAATTAGTCAACCACATGGTCAGTATCCAACCATTTGGGGGAAAAACGTTTAGTGAAGGATGATAAATTCAAGTATTTACAGCAAATCACAACAAAACAATTTGCAGAGACAGAAAGGAAGCAGTAATTAAAAGTTTACAATGTCTTGAACTCTGGTATCTAATTAAGGTAGCAAAATGACAGAAACACCATTAATCTCGATTAGACATTGGATCATAGGAGCGAGAATTTAAAAATTATATGTTCAAAATAAACAAGGGACAATTTGAAAATTTGAACCTCAATATGATCCTTTGTTCACCAGAATAAAGTCTGCTTGCTTTAGACTCATTCACCTGCACAAATATAATAACTGAATGCCAAAATATTCTATGGAAAAAAGACACTGAAACTAAGTAAGAACTTTAAACATTTTACGACTGCAAAAAGCATTTTGCATACCCTCAACACAGACGAAATTGACCCATAAATATCACTTTTCTTGACTTCCTCCACAAGAATGTCCATAATCACTAAATGGCGAATTATTCTGGATGCTTCACCTTTCTGCAGGTGTTTACCAGCTCCATGAAGTCTCAAAGTGTCGTGTTTGTATTTCTTGATCTGCATTGAGAAGAAGTTTAAGCAGTTTGATCCACCAATAAAGCAGAATATATATCAACAGGTATATAAAATTAAATTTGTGTTTCCGACATACATTTAAGCTCATTGAACCTCTGTATACTTCCAAAATATGTGACAGAGAAAACTGCTGATCTGTTTCTTTAATGAGCTCCACCTGCACCAAAATGACTGAGCGTTGGTGCTTAGGAAAGTAACAGACTTAAGAGATGGAGATAGAGGAGAATCATGAAGTAAAGATTAGAATAAAGAAATATCTAACCAGTTGCCTAGAAATATCAGTGACATCTCTCTCAATTGAATCCAACATTTTGGAACAACTATCACATGTCTTCTGGCAGTCTAAAGGGTTGAACTTTTCACCAAAATGAATTAATTGCAATAAGCGTCTACAATCTGAATCATTTTCACAATAATTAACCTGTAATTCATGAATGGTTATCAGAAATTAAGGATTTTTTAATTATTCCAAAAATTAAGGATAGCCCTAAACAAGCAGCCTCTAAAGATACCATGCGCAACAAATTCTCAATATTTGTTTCGAATACTCTATCAGTGCTAGAAGGAAGATAGCGCCTCGACCCAGCAGAGAAGGGACTTTGGTCTATGACTCCTTGAGTAAGCATGTGCTTAACTCTTATCTTCAGTGACCCAAAATGAATAAATGAATGGTTAGAAAGATAAATATAACAAATAATATATAGGTAAAAGTGCCAAAAGAAAAAGGTTCCAGAGATGGCAAGGTCATTCCTAAAGAAAGGTGGGGTTTCTTGTTAATTACATAATCACTATAGTTATAATACAAAACACAAGATGATCGGAGACCATCTCTGCCAGCACGCCCACACTCCTACGAAGCACAAAGAATGATTAACATTAATATCGCAACCAAATAATCTGCATTTGACATTAAGAAACAATGTAAAATTACACTAAAACTTACTTGATGATAACCTTCTATAGACTTGGGTAGAGAATGATGAATCACAAACCTAACATCGGGTTTGTTGATGCCTAAAAAAAAGGTTAGAATATCATGTCTGATTGACGAGTTGAAAGCCCAATCATGAAAGAATATAGAATACCCATGCCAAAGGCTACAGTGGCGCATATTATGTTGATTTCATCTTTACTCCACTGCTTTTGAACATAAGCTCTTTGTTGGGGATCCATACTGCCATGGTAGAAAGAAGCTTTGTGTCCACATTCCTATTAAAAGACCAAAATATTAACTGCAACTGCAGATAGAAACCATGATCTAGCAAATTTGCAAACTACCAATTTATTTAATAATTTCATCCATAAATCTATCAACAAGTCTAGGTATTCTTCCGCAAAGCATTAGGGAATTTCAATAAACAGCAAGCACTTGGTACAAACAAGCAGAAATTTCAAAAAATACAAACCTCAACATGAATTAAAGAAAAAGTGTTTGTCATCTTTTCCGCAAAGAGATGCATAAGACAAATAAAGAGATTAAAAGTTGATACAAAAACAAATATGCCAATCAAAATTTAAAAATTCACTTAAGTTCATTAAATATGCATAAGGACTTCTTAACCCGTAAGATTTTACATCTAGTTAAACTGCTCACTAGATTTGAAATTTAACTACAGGGCCTAACTGCTTAGATGCCTTCATGATCCTTCCAATAATCATATTTTGTAAGGTCTAAAAAATACTGAACAATCCAACATAGAATGTGATTCTTTTCTGACCAAACTCTCGATCCATATAAAACTCGAGAATGCATCAGAAACTCATCTTCTACATGCTATGATAAATAGAGGACAGGGAAATAACTCAATACCAATTAAATTCTAATAAAATTAAACTTAACCCCTTTTAGACTCTGTATACACCTAACTAATCCAAGTGATTCCCAGAGATGGATTATATACTAAAAATTGGAAATTAGTGACCTTAATCAAATAAATGAACGTGATACCAATTTAGGGCTCCTGAAGGTTTGTTGGAGTGGGGTTTAGCGAGGAGGTGGTTATAGAATAATAAGAAAAGAAAATATGGGAGGTTTATGGTGTTGGGAAGGAATTACGGGGAAAATCCTGTTTTAGGGCAGTAGGTCCAACGTCGTCGGCAGCAGTCTTGACAAGAGAAAACTTCGAATAGGCAACATTAGGGCGGCAAGAAGTTCCACCATCTGTTTCTGGGAAAGATATAGGCACACCACTTGTAAAATAAATAGAATAAAACTCTCCATAAGTATAAAACAAGTATTACAATCTCAACTCAAAAAACAAAAGTTTCTCAAACGAGAATAAAACAATACGTAAATAGTCTCCCAAATAAAAACCTTACTTAGAAATAAGAAAAATAGGAACTAAAGAAAAAGAAATAAGTCAAAATAACAAGGTTTCCAACATAAGTTTCCAATCAGGCAAAAGTTGTCCCTTAGATCTACCTTGCAATCGTAGAACTCCCGTTCAATGGAATCGCGTAGCTTTTGTGATCGGCAGTAACGGGATCTCCGTGACAGCAGCGCACAGTGCCCCCATGTCATTCTCCCCGAATAAGAGAGGCTTCTTCCTTTCTCTGGAATGACCTAGGTCCCACTGTCGGATGCTCTTTCCCATAAAACACCTATCAAGATTTTTGAGGTAGCATCTTACTACTCCTACCTAGCTATCTATCTGGGACAACATTCCTAAACTGAACAGAAATTTAACACTCATATTACTCCATATAGCCTTCCAAGAGTAGCTCAAATTTTTTTTATCTGTACATTGGGCATCCCTCAACAATGGAAAGTTAAGAGATAGATTGTATCATCTGTATGTCTGAAAATTATAAAATTATCTTATTTGGATTTGTCACGGTTTGATGCAAACTCAATGAGCTCATGATCTATTTGGACAACCAATGTCAATCTTATTTATGCTTCGTTTAACGCCTGCAAAAGGTAGTTTGTAAACTTTGTTTGAACACATATTACCTCAGACTCACCACCTTCTATAATAATTAATATTAATCCAACTGAAGCCTCTCATGGGCTCAACTTGAATTACCGGCGTCTCTTTCTCATTAACTAAAAGGCGAGACTCCTCTTTGAAGACTTCATCCTCTCCTGTGTTACTATATATTGCTTCAACTGATCCCTAGTTAGCTAAAGAAATCATACACATGTTTGGGCAATTTGATGAACAGTGCTCAAAACTGTGGCACTTGATGCACTTTTTGGCTATGAAGAATTTGGGAGTGTATGTTGGCTCTAGCTATCCTTCACTCTGAACTAATTTATCCTAGTTGGGCCTGCTTGGGATGTTGCATTGGGCGTACTCTTATTGTCTAATCTGATGGTTGAACCCTGTTTTGTAGCGTCCCCTTTCTGTTTAGCCGAAAGATGAATCGAAACGTCGAACAGAGAGAGGGGGTGGGAGGGACGAAACGATGAGTCGAGAAGCCAAAAAGGGGAGAGGTGAAATGAGAGGATCGGAAACTAAGGTGACGAGTTCACCCATAAAATGATACAACCAAAGAAATTTACTTACCTATAAAAACGAGAGAGGCGATGCCACTGTCTAGCATGGGAGTGGCGTCGTCACTCAGAAGAGGCGAGAGCTTTCGGTATCGGTGTCGGTATAAAAACGAGAGAGGCGATGCCACTGTCTAGCATTCGTCACTCAGAAGAGGCGAGAGCTTTCGGTGTCGGTGTCGAGCAGTGGAGGAAGAAACAAAAGGAAGAAGAGGCAAGACAAAGGTGACGTCTGATGCAAATGTCGAATGAGGCGGCGTGATGAAGGAGACGTGCGAGAGAGTCGAATGTCATCCTCTCCCATCTTCAAGAATAAATGACCAACTAACCATGACAAAGATAGATTTTAGAGAAGATCAGAATGTCGAGAGCATACCAAGAGACTATAAGATTTCACGACATTCTAGAAAAAACTAGAAAGAATAATATTTCAAAAAAATTCTAGAAGGTTCCACATAATTTCAGAAATATGTTGAAAGAAACAAGTTTCAAGAAAACTCTAGAATATTCTGCAAAGTTCTAGAAGCATGTATAAAAGAACAATGTAGAACTATCTAGAAATTAGTATATTCTAATGTAATCTATAAATTTGTCTTATTCTTGGAGAGGAATATAAATAGAAGCCCCCTCCTCATTGTATATCCATCCAAGAACCATCCAAGGTCCCCAAGCATTCAAGTGTTGTAATCACTATTTCTTTCACCAATATTTCTCCCTATTATTCTTCCTATAGTGATTCGTGTTTACAATTCCAAGTGTTATGAGGGTTGGGTTGATTTAGTGCAAAGAAAGAGCATTAAATTCGCACGTGTGACTTTAGATAAGTTATTTTGTGAAAGTTGGTATCAGAGCCTCGATTCGAATGTATGACAAAGAAAGTCAAGGGCGCATGAAGAAGTCGAAAGCCACTATTGTGGAATCATCTCTATATCTCTCAGACATCGCTATATTGTAGTGGAGAAGATGGAGAGATATAGAGAAAGGTATGCGCATTGTATCCACCTTTGATAACTTTAAGAAAGAGATAAAGAGACAATTTTATCCCAAAAATAAAGAGGATGAGGCCAGAGCACGATTGCAAAAGCTCAAGCAAACTGAATCGATTCGAGAATATATTAAGGTGTTTATTAACCGGGTCCTTGAAATTCCTGACATGACTGACAAAGATACTCTTTTCAACTTCCTAGATGGACTGTAACAGTGGGCAAAGACTGAGCGTAGGAGGCGTGAAGTGCAGGATCTTGCTACTTTCATTGCAGTTGTCGAAAGATTGATTGACCATGCAAAGGAGTCTACAAAGTCAAAGGATTAGAAGAGTGCCAATTTAAAAGATGATAGAGAGAAGGGCCAAAACAAGAAAGATACTAGCTATGAATTATCCTCATCCAAGGGTAAAAATAAGGGAAAGCAAAATGATAATAAAATCAAGTCACATAACAATTGCTTTCTTTGTGATGGACCACATTGGGCAAGAAATTGACCAAAAAAGAAAGCTCTAAACTCTCTCCTTGCAAGCCATCACAAGGAAGAAGGTGGAGATACAACGGCACAAGTAGGGTCTATAAAACTGTTGAATAGGATGCAGGCTCCAAGAAAACTCCAAGCAAAGGTGTTACTCTGTGGAGATGATAATAGGCGGGAAAACCAGTAGAGCAATGGTGAATAAGAGTATTTTTCACAACTTCATCTCCACCGAAGAAGCAAAAAAGTTGGGTTTGTGAATGACTGAAGGAGGCTCAATCAAGCTAGCCAATTCAGCAGTAAGGTCAATAGATGGAATAGTCAAAGGAGTAACAATGGAGCGTGATTAGTTACCTTAAACTTCTTTGTCATTCCAGTGGATGATTTTAAAGTTTTTTTAGGGATAAAATTCTTCGATCAAGCAAGAACATTCTCAATACCCTTCGCTTATAGCATGTGTATCATTGAAGGGAATCAAGCTTGTCTAATGCCAACAACAAGAACTAGAAAGCAAGAAGCTAAAATGCTATCAGCCATTCAATTCAATAAGGCCATCTGACGAGATAAGGACAATTACTTGGCTATTCTTCATAACTCAAATCAAGAAGGAAAGCCCCGAGAAGACATGCTAAGGGAAGTGGTGCAGTGCTTGAAGAATATAAAGGTGTTTCACCACCAAAATTACCAAGCGAATTAAAGGAAGATAGATCAGCAAACTGGGGAAGGACCAGGGACTGAGCCGCTAACCATGAAGCCTTAATGCATGATGCCCGTCTCCCCTACAACCAGGTAAGAGAGAGAAAGCCCAACCTCTTTCAAATTTGTCAAATTTTTATACGAGCAAAGGGAGTTAGCTCGAACCACATTACATAAGGCTGTAAGAAGAATGAAGTGGCCAGACAAAAAAATGAAAGATGAAGGCACATGGAATAAGAAAAAACTGAAAGTATCAAGTGGATGTCGCAATGAGGGCATTGCGAGCTTAAGTGGGGGAGTGTCACACTCCCCCATCTTTGAGAATAATTGACAAGCTAACCATGGGAAAGAAAGATTCTAGAGAAAACTAGAATGTAGAGAACAATCCAAGGGACTATAAGATTCCACGATATTCTAGCAAATAATAAAAAAAAGGAAAATATTCTAAGAAATTCTAGAAGATTTTACATAATTTCAAAAATATGCTGGAAAAAACAAGCATTAAGAGAACTCTATAATATTATGGAAAGTTCTTAAAGTATGTATATATAAAGAATAC